ACTTTTTCTGTTCTGAGGTCAGTTTATAAGATTGTATAATTTGAAATTATTTTTGTAAAACACAGAGTTCACATTCTCTGGAACAAAAAGGGAGAGGAAGCATTCGGTTTGTCATCAGTTCAAAGTCTGCCTTCATGATGATGTGGGGGTCCACTCGTGCCTATGAAACTAGAAATATGAACGCTGAGTCCGGTGCTGAAGTGGCCTGCCTGCAGTCCAGACCTTTCTCACCATAATTCATGCTCAACGTTTGGAGGATAATGAACCAAACAACACAACAAAGACCATCCAGACCTGTTGAGCAGCTAGAATCCTTTGACAGGAATGGGAAAACATTCCTCTCCAGAAAGTCCAGCAGCTGCTCTCCTCAATTCTCAGACATTTACAGGCTGATTAGAAAATAGTTTTATAGCATTATTGGTGATTTTTTTCCCCCTCACATCTGTACAGGAAAACCAAGCACAGTTTACCAATCCTGGGATATCCGTACTAAGGTTGGGCGATATGTAACAATTTTCCAATCGTCAGTCCAACAATCACTGATGGGCGATATATCCGCGCATGCACACACTTTTTGATGGGCGGGGCAATGTAATCATGCACAAACTGATTTGTGCGTTTACAACACAGAATAAATCCAAACATGGACAAACTAGTTCCCCAGAAAACGCTGTCAGCGTTAACACGGTTTGAACGCGGTCATCACGATTACAATTTTTAACGCTCTCAACACATCTGGAGCGCAGAATGAACAAAATTGGGACAAACTGCCGAAATGCGTCGACGGGGACATTTCAGGGATTTTGACTCAGTCTGGGATCCAGATGGGTTAATTGTTAATCGCGTTAGTCATGTTGACGGCGTGTTAGCGCTGACAGCACAAAAAAATATAAAGTCACCATTCTGGGATTTCTTTGGCTTTAAACCAGATGAAAGAGATAAACATAAGGATGTAACCAATCGGTGTGCTGCAGACGTACAGTGTGAGCAAAGTACTCAAACACGACTAACGTGCATGAGCATGTACGTGTCCACCATCCGGCTGACTATGCTAGGCTATCACCAGCCTCTGCAGCTCCATCAACAAGCATTTGGGCGCACTCTGAGGTGGGGGCATTTGCTCGCAGATGAAAGAGGGTGCTGTTAAAACGGCGCTATTATTTATTCATTTTTTGTTGTTGACTGCTTCTATTAGCTCCATCATTATTAGCAAACTTACTCATGGGCAAATAAATAAATAAGTGGCCCTTGTAAAAACTTGGATCTGGTGCCCACTGAGGCTGAGCCTATCGTCAATGGTCCATATATTCGTCCAATCACCCAACACTAATCTGTACGGGATTAAATTGACTCGGTGATAGTCTTGCTCCATTTTGTGCGCAAATCCAACCCTTAAATAAGGTTATAATCGCCTGTTTTAGGGAGTCACTGATTATATGCAATACTGAGACGGTGCCTAATAATCTGTCCACGTTTTAAATACTAATAAGACACAGCAGTGAGTTTACTGTAGGGGCTTCAGTGTATCTCTCTTTATTTTCTGTGCTGTGAAATGTGTCAGGCCGGTTCAGTCAGCCACGTCTCCATGACGGCCGTCTGTCACGTCTAATCTAAAGTGTGAGGGTTGAGTCAGAGACTCGCGCTTACTGACTGACTGCCGGGCAGCAGATGGATCGACAGACGACTGCTGTCATTCACACACAGTCATTAAAAGGAAGGATGAGAACGAGGACTTGGCAGAGGAGGTGCGAGGAAGTAATCCACCTGTGCTCGAATCTCTCCGGGGTTCAACTTGAATGGTAACGTGAGATTGAACAGAAGGGATTTGAATGCTGGCAGCGAGGTTTCAGACGTTTGATTTGCAGCATATCATTTTTACATCAGCTGTTGAAAGAAAGGAAAATCAGAGGTTGGCTCTGATTGTTGGACTTGAGGTGAAGTTTATTATTAGTGCCAAGAGGAACATTTTATGCCTAAATTATTAAATTATATAGATTAAGTGTTTTGGCCCTTATAGTCCAGTCAAGAAAAGTGTGAAAATATGAGACATGAAGGTGTCGTGTACTAATATCTTCCTGTCTGGCTGCAGGTGAATCATGGTGCTGACTGGGAAACGTTCGGAGAAAGGCCCCGCCTGCTGGAAGAGGAGGGTGAAGTCTGAGTACATGAGGCTTCGGCAGCTGAAACGCTTCAGACGGGCCGACGAGGTCAAGGTTTGTTTACGCACTCACACACAGACACACACACAGCAGCATTCATGCTGCAGTTATTAAGAGAAGTTGGGTCTATTTGACTTTAGTTTTTATTTTTAAGAGCACTAGCTGAGGTTGTTTTGCCGTTTTGGGGTAAAGAACAGATTTATTAATTCGCCCAAAGTTTTTAATCATGAAAGTGGAAACAGGAAGTGTCCCACGGTGTTTGGGGTGATTGCTTTGACTGATTAGACCAGCCGGGGCTGTAAACTCTGTGATTGGCTGAGAGTTGTCCTGTAAATGGTGTTAAAATGGAGAAGAGATGGTTATCAGGAGTCTGATGGATGACTGTGTCTCACTACGTAACGTTTTCAGTTGTTTTCACAGCAGCAGTTTCTCACAGATTTAGGTCTCGTTAGTGACGTTATGGCTCCTTTAACCTTTTTCTGTCAGAAATTAAAATTAAAGCTGATCCAAATTAAAGTTTACATGACTAAAGGTCCGTATAAAGGCTTCGCCATGTGCTGTTTATTTGCTAAAATCGTCACCTGACTCACCTGCACAGGTACGATCTCTGCGGGTGGTAACACTGAGGGAGAGTGAAGCTGGCCCTGTGTTTTGTTCTGTGCACTGATATAAATTTCCTTTAACTGTCACAGAGCATGTTCAACAGCAACCGTCAGAAAATCATGGAGCGAACTGACATTTTGAACCAGGAGTGGAAAACCCGGCGAATCCAGCCCGTTCACATCATGACGTCGGTCAGCTCCTTACGAGGGACTCGAGAGGTGAGCGGTCGATACTGGTATCAAAAATAAAAATACTCTAAAGGCTCAGAGGGAGGTGTCCTGACTGTAACGCACGCTTCCTGCGCAGTGCACCGTGGAGAGCGGCTTCTCCGAGTTCCCTCGACAGGTCATCCCCCTGAAGACTCTGAACGCCGTGGCCTCGGTCCCGGTCATGTACTCCTGGTCGCCGCTACAGCAAAACTTCATGGTGCGTAGAAAGCTTTAAAAGCTGCACTTTGTAAACAGCTGAGGCTGCGATTCAGTACAGTATACTACAGTCACAGGTGGCTGAGAAGCTGTGTGTGTGACGTTTGTTCTGGGTTTACTCCTACAGGTGGAGGATGAGACGGTGCTCCATAACATTCCCTACATGGGAGACGAGATCCTCGACCAGGACGGGACTTTCATCGAAGAGCTCATCAAGAACTATGACGGCAAAGTCCACGGAGACAGAGGTGAGGGTCAGTGGGCACAGGAGCAAATGGTTTGACAGCCAAAGTCGTAATTAATGAAACTGCATCTGATAATCAGTCTGAAGGCAGCAGAAACAGTCACTGAAATGTGACTAATAAGCTGAAGGATCAAAGCGCTTTGTTTGTGGATCTTAATGTAAAGAGCAGAAAAATGGTTTAAAAACGACTGTACGGTGGCAGTTTGTCAGAACAAGAACAAGACAATAATTTCGAGTCGTACATGAACACAGGAGCCTCTAACTTTTCATCGTCTTTTGTTGTGATTGCATTTTTTAACAGCTCATTTGCAGGATCTAGACCCAGCACGGCAACAGGAAAAACCATTTGAAATGTTGGCGTGTCTCCTCTCTGTTAGCATTAAGCTGCTTCCATAAACATGGATGATTTTGTTGAAGCATGCAAAGTGTCTGTCAGGGTGGATGTTTGGCTTCTGGAGCCTTGTTAGCATTAGCCACCTTTTTCCTGAGAGCTCAACCTGCTGGAACCATACGATGGATTTTTCTGGCAATACTTCTTCAGGTAGTCGGTCATCTGTACCATCTGTTAGCTGTGGTGTGTTAACTTTGTGCACAGACGATGGATTTTTTTCCTTTCTTTTCGTATGCACTCATTTCCCTATGAAAATGAGTTGCTACCAAGCATTGGTGCAGAAAATGAATATTTTGTGCAGTCACAGCGCCACTGCTCTGAGGACGAAGTTGTTTTGCTGTTTGTTTTGGAATCAACATTTCACTTCGGATTCAGAGTCGAAACAAATGTGCTGGTCAGAGTTTTCCATTAGGAATAAAAACAAAACTGAATTCAGGAAGTCTAGTAATTAACTTTTTCCGCAATTACCTTCTGTAATCAGTTTTGGTTGTTTTCCATTACGATTGAGTATCACCAAGGGTTATCATATAGCCCGACCGCCTGTCGGGCTATATGATAACCCGACAGGTGGGGCTGAGATAGATTTTGGTCGCCCAACCGGAGATATCGCTAGCTCCGGGACGTCGGGCTAGCGATTTTGCGAGCCCTGATCACTTAATGTGACAGATCGTTGTAGCAACGCAGCTGAAAGTCCTGTGCTGCTCCGTGCTTGCATGGCTTCTTGTCAAACTCAGGCTCCTGTGTGGGCGTGCTCCAAAGTTTCTGAAAGAGAGATTTCTGAGTATTTGGGATAGAAAAAACTAGCAGAGGTTAAAAGTTTTATCAAAACTCTGCACAGCAGTTTGTAATGTGAGAGCTGATGCAGCACAGCTGTTTGCAGTCCTCCCTCAACGAGAAACCGCAAAACCAGGAATGTGAACGTGCTCGTGTGGTTGGTCTGTGTGGTGTCTCATCAGACAAACAGTGCGATGAATATTTGCTTTGTGTGTTTGTTTGTTCTACGTCGTCTCAGCAGAAAGAGAAACGGCTCCTCTGCTGCTCTGTGAAACTATCTGTCCTGTGTTGTGTTTTGCAGAGTGTGGCTTCATCAACGACGAGATCTTCGTCGAGTTGGTGAACGCTCTGGCACAGTACAGTGACAACGAGGAGGATGAGGAGGAGGAAGAGCAGGACTTTAAAGTGGACAAGATGGACATGTGTGATGGCAAAGAGCACCCAGAGGACCCCCGCAAGGACGGGCTTGTTAACAATGAGAGTAAGTCCTGAGGTGTTGGAGCTGTGCTGCAGTTAGAAACGTGTTACAACCAATGAAGGTGTTTGTGCTGAGCTGCTGTGAGGGGGGAGCATTCACACTGACAGTTTTGTGTCCTGATGGAAAGCGTGTGTGTGTCGTCTCCAGGCCGAACCAACAATGACACCAGCAAGAAGTTTCCCTCTGACAAGATCTTTGAGGCCATCTCCTCCATGTTCCCCGACAAGGGCTCCCCCGAGGAGCTCAAAGAAAAGTCAGTGGGTTTGTTTGTGTGCGAGTGAGTCGGTGCTGTGACGATAACAGAGGAGCTCATTCTAATATGTGTAACGAAAGAAGGTCAAAGAATTTATCCATAAACATAAAAAGCACCTGATTTCAAGTCGATCTCCTCTCGAGAGATTTCAAGAAGTCCTGCTTTGGCGCTTTGGTCGAATGAGACGAGGCGATGACTTTAAAGTGCGTGTTGACAGCAGGTGATCTCACTGTGTTTGGAACTCAAAGTCCAGTTCGTGCTGAGATTGCTGCATGTTGTGTCACTGGAGAAGATGAATCCAGTCATTGCTCAGATGGACTCAGGCGTGATGTTGTCGTGGTGGTTGTTAATTTTGCCAGAACGTCAGATGTGTGCTTCCTACAGCCACGGCTGTCTCATGTGTGAGCTAAAGAGGACACACACACACACAGAGTGCTAATGTTGAGGCAAACTGATGATGGCGTGCATCATTAAGGGCGATGCATGTTTTCTGTACGAGGAAACATCAGGACACGTCTGATTTTAGACTGTTTATGTCATGGAAGCCTTTCAGGACCACTGATTCATTCTGTAAATACACACACAGACAATAATGAGCTGCTTTTAAAAAGATAATTATCAGTAATACTTGATGTTGTTCAGGATGATCCAGTATTTAAAATAACTGTTTAGCTGATGGTCTGTTCCATATTTTCTATTTGCTTACTTGATTGTTGTTTATTTACTGTTCATGCGAGCAAACAGACTTTTAATTATAAAAACTTTAACCTGTTCTTAAGTCTTTAAAATGTTGATTATGATTTATAAAATATATGCAAAATATAAGAGCAGCAGTTGGTCTTATATGTACTTTAAAGTATTTGTACAATACTAAACTCGAGATTTGACTTAATTTCAATTTAATACTTCAAGACTTACCACAGAACCAAATCCACCAGAACTTATATATTACATGCTGTAGTGCCATTTTTGGGAGTAGTTAAAGTTGCTATACCTCAGTACAACCATTATAACCAGATTTTAATAATATGATTGCACTAAGTCCATAGCAACTACAAAAATAGCCAAAAAGTGCAATGAACTACAAAAAATTGGAAAATCATTTTTACTTTTTTTAAACACATATTTCTTGTTAGAGAAAATTCTGCAATGCAAAAAGAAAGTTATAGTTTCCAACCACAGGAAAAGTGTTTTGAGTGTCTTCATAGTTTTATTTTTGAGATGCACCAATTTTTATGTACTGCAGGAAAAAGGACATTTAATATAATAATGCAAATTTGCAAAAAAAAAAAAAAAGCGTCAAAATAAACTATTTCCAGAACTCTTTGGCGTTTTAATCGTCCCAGAAACTACACAGAAAATCACCAGTATAGGCTTATAAGGCTCTGAAGGGGAAAAACTACGTTTCCCACAAAATATGATGTCACTTCTGGTTTTGGCAGGAAATGGCGGACATCAGATAGTTCGTGCTGATGTCTGTTCCAGTTAGGGGTGCAACGATACTCGTATCGATATCGAACCGTTCGATACAGTGCTTTCGGTTCGGTACGCATATGTATCGAACGATACAACATTTTTAATTTATTTTATCAACTTT